AGAAGGTGGAATTAAAGACCTTTGGAACTGAAACACAAACAATGTTTCCTAATCAGTCTGCTGTAGTTTATCACTGTTTTTTTTAATAGATGGATTAAACTCTCCTTCTCCAAGTCACACTTCCTGCTCCCTGTCTTAGCAGGGACAGGAAACGTTTCTTTCTCCTCCTTCTGACAGATGGGAAATTTGCTATGTCTCACCTACACCTTACCTCAACATTCCTTTTTCAGGAGCCTAATCCTTTCATTTGTTCCTTCCAAAGTTTCAGACGTTGGTTTCACCTCATTCCTGAGGGCAGCACCCAAAACTGGAAATATATTCTACGTTAAGGTCTTCACAGTTAGTGGTGCAATAGAGAGATATATTTGAGTGATCTAGACACAAAAATTACACAAAATTATGGTTTTACACTCTTCCTCGGTAACATCGGTAGAAATAAAGAAAATTTCAAAGCTTTTCAACTTTTTTCAAACTGAAGCTTTCAAAACATGGGACAGAAACAGCAATATTACATTTTTAGGCCCAAGGCCTAGTCGTTCTCATTTTGTCCTTCTCAAGGTCGTTTAAGTCTTGAGACAACATGTATCTTCTAAACTACATCCTGTACCTCCATTTGAACATGGAACATCTGTAAAGGGGTGCATCTGCCTCGCAACAATGATTCTTTGCATTGCTTCTTGCTAATAACTTGCCAAATAGTTACAGTTTAGTTAGCAGGAATCAATTCCATTTACTATACTTTCACTTCCAGTAAGGATGAATTAGCCCACAGCCAGTAGTAACTAAACACCCTCATTGTTATTTTCTTTCTGTCTTTCTCTCTCTCCCTTTGTCTCTGACATGAACAGTTCAGTAAAACCCCACAAGTGGCTTTGCCATAGGGTGTCCTTTGCACCTTCACTCGGCCCCAGCCGCTCCTGATCATTTGAAGGAGCGGCTCAGAAGAAGGGGCAGCAATCCCCCAAGACCGGGGCTGCTCCAGGCCGCTCCCGGTGACTCGGGCTGTTGGAGGGGTGCTGGGGTGGCCTTTGTGACACAGGCACGGGGTGCCGGGGTGGCCTCTATGACACAGGCACGGTGCGTCAGGGCCCTCGGTGATGCGGGACCTTGTGATGCCCAAAGTCCATTGTGACATGGCAGAGCCCCAACCCCGGCTGGGGGTATATAAAGGGTTTGTGGGGCTCGGGTCAGTCCCGGGAGAGCGCTTTCCAGCGCCTTCCTGCGCCTTCCCTTCCCTTCCCTTCCCTTCCCTTCCCTTCCCTTCCCCTCTCTCATTCTCTCCTGTTGTGTCTATCAGGTTTTTTCGGGGGTGTTTTGGGCTCCACAGTTTGGAGCTGGTTGGTCGCTTGTAGGGTTGGCTTTTTTGCGAGGTTGGGGGGGGGGGTGTTGTAAACCTTAAAAATTTCAGACCAGATCAGGAAATAAAATCTTTCGTTTCAAAAATACATCTTCAGTGTCTGGCAGTTATTTCCAGGGGTTGGGAGTCAGGGTTTGGGCGCAGTGGGAGGTTTAACATGAAGAACCCACAGTCAGAAAAGAGGATTCAAAATGTCTTACGGAAACATTGCCACTCCATGGGGAGCCCAAAGGTAAAGGAGCAAAGGTGGTGTGTGAACAGTGTCCTTGGAAAACTCGGTCCTGGAAGTGAAGGAAGCAGGAACTAATAAGAGCAAAGACTAAAAAGAAAGATGATTTTGAACTTGTTCCCATTTTTAAAATAAAAATGCACATGGTCTGCCTGGGTAGAGTCCTAAAGGGTCAGATAAGGCAGTGCAGAATGGGCTCTTCTGAATCAGAAAGGAACACGAGAGCTCAGTAAAAATGTGTCATGGCGTGGCTTTACCTTTAAGGTGGTTTTGAGAGCTGAGGACGTTGAAGCTGCTGGTGGCTGATGGGAGTCCTTCCTCCTGACCAATTAGCAGTCATTTCTAAGAAGTGACAACAGTTTTGACCATGAAAAAGTGAAGTCAACTTGTGAACACCCCCTTAAGATGTACAGCCAAAGCTCTCTTGTCCTCTTTGTGTTTGTGATTTCTGGAAAGGTAACAGGCTCTGCCTTGGCTTCTCCCCCCCTCCAGGCCGGACAAGGCCGCAGAGGACGAAGTGGGGGGGGAGAAGCAGAGCCGGCCAGCCTGGTTTAGTTTTCCGTTTCTGCTGCTGGACTGAAACCTGACACCATGAATTCTTGCAGCTTTTCTAAAGCTTTAATTCTTTTACTACCTGGATAAAACGTACAGATTACTCCGTTTTCCCAAGAGAGACAGAGAAAGAGAGAGACAATCAACATACAGAAGACATCATAAAACCACCAGAAACAGTGAGAAAAGTGAGTGAAGTTTTAAATGGGAAAGAGAGAATAAGGAGATGCTTTATAAGCTGAAAATATCTTTCTGCTAAAGCTATGGAGATGGACAATAGTAGTTTGAAAAGACTCCTTTAATTCATGACAGAGTATGTTGGGAGGAATGGAGTGTTCAAAGCGTGGATTTGAAGCCAAAGAGAGAGAGTAATTGTGATACAGCGAGTTGCTGGAACAGAGTTGAGTGAAGCTTTGAAGCCTTGGGGGCAATGAGAAAACTGTTTTCCAGAAAAGCTCACAGAGACAGGTGAAGAGGACTTTTGCCTTTGAATAACTCATCCTTAACATGACATCCCTAGACTCATGGCCCATACACACCTCAGAGTGATGTGAAATGGGAGGAGTGAACTCTGATGCGAGGATTTCTGGGCAGCCGACATGAGAAAAATAGAAAACTGTAACAGAAATAGTTTTCTTGTGAGAAACTCCATAGATTAGCAAAAGAAGACTTCTGTTTCTCTACAAAGACTGCTGAAAAGACTGTAGCAGAAATTGAGACTGTTTTAACCACCAAAGTTCTAAAGATTTTGGTCTGTTTGTTGTCACACGTACAAAAGAATGGTCAGGTATTGGGGGATAAAAGAGTCTTCTGAAAGTTTATTCTGGTGTTTTTATTCTTGTAGTTTTGTTAATAAACTTTCTTTATTCCTTTCAAGTTTGAAGCCTGTTTTTGCTCTTGTTCTAATCCATATCTCATGGCAAGAAATAAGTACATTTTTTTAGTTACTGTTTTAAACCATGACAAAATGCCACGTGTTTTGAACCAAATAATGGCAGATGCCTTGCTGGTGAATTGTGTTCAGTTATCTTAAAGGATGTCAACCAAGCAGGAGATCCTGAAGTGTTGCAAACCTTAAGCTTTTTTTAGGAAAAAGAAAACTCATCTCATAGATATGGAAAACCTTCAGACCTTTACGGAAGGTCTTTGTAGAAGCTGATCTATCAAGATTAGTTATGTAGAATGCACACGTATATTTTGATCAAAATCGAGGTACACCCTCTTGCAACAGAATGAGGATAACATCAAAAAATGTACAAATGTGGGTGTTAAATATCTGTAGGTGACTAGGCTGAAGACTTTTCTTGCCCCTTATTTGAAAAATATCCTAGTTACAGGGTTTTTTTATAATCCATTTGAAATATATTCTTTTCTTTGATAATTTCCACATTTCCGATGGTCATTGGAAGATGTTACCAGTCTGGTCATAAAGAATTCATACACAGGATCCCCCAGGGTGCTTTTTTCATTCACAGAAACCATCTTTTCTTGTGGAAATGTAGGATATCTAAGAAATCCACAGATACTTGGCATGTTATCATGAATTCTATTGTGTATGACTGTTGTAAAGGAAATTCAAGGTGTTTAAGGCTCCATTTTACACCATCTCATGCCATAATAACACAGTGCTCCAATCTGATGTCCTTGGTTTTATGTCCCCTGCACGTGGTGATCTGCTCCTGATTTCAAATTTTAGTTCTGCTCTACCAAATTCTTCCCTGTTTGTTCCTTTGATTTTTTTCTTTCATAGTTTTGTATTTTACTGTACTTTCTCATTCAAGTATGGAATGTTTTTTCTCCCTGGTTTACCAGGTTGCTCTCAAGCACATTTAAATTCTGTTTGAAAAGCTGCTGGGAACAAGAAAAAGCTGAAACTAATTAAGAGAAATTAAAAAAGTTCGACCAATGGACGCTGCGCTCTACGGCTCTCCAAGCCTGGGCTAGCTCTACACCACTCGGCCGATGGCAGCGCCAAGAGTGGGGAACAGCACGGGCACGATGGTCCCAGTGCTGAACCTCCAGAGCCCCCTGCACTCGGGCCCTGTAGGTCTCAGGCGTCGCAGGTCTCAGTAAAGGGACGGAGGAGGCTCAGAGTCTCTCTTAGCTTCCCAGGAACAGGTTTATTGGTAGGAAAGGGAGAGGTGAGTGGGGAGAGGACTGGGACGATGAAACAGGAGAACAAGTGAGCCCCGAGCAGCTCCGTGCGTCGGGTTTTAACCAAGGAGAGGGTACGACTCAGGGACCAATCAGGGAGCACTTTGGGAGGAGTCAAAGGAGGGGTTCACAGAGCTTGGGACCAATGGGAAACATACGTGGGTGGGGCGGCAGTTACAAAACCAATCCTGTGTCGAGCAGGGGATGAGAGGCATGGAAGGTACTGGAGGAAAGGGTAGGGTTTACAATGATGGGCAGGAAATGGGGGCCGTAAAGGGACGACTGATAGAAAAGGTTCAGGAATAAAGGGAGGGGTTTCCAAAATTGACAGAGGGGAAAGACCATGACATCATCGTGGGGGAACAACAGGAACCTACCAACAAACAGAATGCAACAAACAGAATG